CCAGAAAGATAAATATGGTATATATTAACTTACATGTGGATATTAGCTTTTTTTTTTTTTGAGACAGGGTTTCTCTGTGGTTTTGGAGCCTGTCCTGGAACTAGCTCTTGTAGACTAGGCTGGTCTTGAACTCACAGAGATCCTTCTGCCTCTGCCACCTAAGTGCTGGGATTAAAGGCATGTGCCACCACCGCCCAGCCTTGGATATTTGCTTTTAAGCCATTGTTAAGCAAGCTACAACACAGAGAACCACAGAGGTTAGGTAAAGGGTAAGGAAATGGGGAGGGGAAAGGCTGGATCTCCCCTCGAAACAGCAAATAGAATAGATAGTTATGGATGGACTGGAGGTGTATTGGAATATGAGGATCAAATGGGAATGAGGAGGGACAGTAGAGCAAGGGTAGAATATGGGGAGAAATGAATAAAACTATGGGTCTTCTGGGATGTTGTATGAAAACTAATACAATAGAAATATTCTAATTACAAACAAGAAAAAAAATTCTTTAAAACTATTTAGCTGCACCTTTAATATGTGCATTTTGTATTTTATATCAATTATTCTTCAAAATTATTTTGATGTTTAAATATTTTGGATTTCTATAAAGGTGTTCTAAAACTGTGTGGAAATGCTATAATGTCAGTATAAAGCTATAATAGAAAAATATTTAAATTACTTTACTACTTTATGTACCCTTCATATAACATCCGGAAACATTTATGACTTCCCCTAAAATCATGAAATTCATGATTAAATCAAATTTTAAGCTCTTATACTTTGGTTCACTGTTTTCCCCAAAGGCTCCTCAATCTCTCCCACAAAGAGAACATCTAGTCACCCCATTATTTTTCCTGAAGTAGTCAAACATGCTATAAAATAAGTTAGACATAAATTGGAATTCTTGATTCAATATAAAAGGCAAATTTAATAAATCCTGCTCTATCACCTCAAAATATATCTATAGAGCACTTATTTGTAAAGCAAGATTCATTACCTAGTTAAATTTTTCAAAATGGCTGGAGTCAAATTAAAAGTAGGGACTATTATCAAATAATGTAAACAACAGAAGAACTAATAGGCAAACTAAAACAATTTTAATGTCTACAAATATTGAGTGAAATAGTTCAGACTTTAAAAAGGCGATATGTAGAATGTTTCTCAATTTTATTCGACTACTGAATTATTTCTTAAATGAAAAAAATCATATTGTAAACAACTTACTACTGACTGCAGCCAAATATTAAGCTGGAATATTGCTACAATCTTCTATTTTTCTCATGTTTGGGGTGTTTTTTATGCTATAAAGTTCAGTTATTTCGTGATATCTGTTATCATCACTTCTTGTTTCTGTTATTGATGGATCTTTGTCTCATTTGAACAGGTTGTTGTCTGTGATCATGGTCGTAACTGATAGAGAAGAGATAGGCACCTCAGTCCTCACAGAACCAAGCTTGTTACTATAGTCAACTTAATATGTCAGCAATAAGAAAAATAATTCACAACCTACCAGATTTTATGCTAAATACTTGCATATCTCTTTTACTTACCATTCACACTACCTGGAAATCAGGAATTGTTCCACTGATTTGTGAAATAAGACAGGAAAATATATCTTAATACAGTTTCCGTGTGATTATTTTAGTCTGGGCAGCTGGGAACCAAACATCCTCTGCCTACATGATGCTTAAAATTTTTCTAATGTTTGTTATTAAGAAAAGTCTGAAGTTAGATTTATAAAGATGGAGATGAAAGTAGATAATTTTCCAGCCTGCAAGACCTGGTTGTCACCCTTTGGTTTTATTCTATTATTGGGTGAGTATAGATTAATGTACTTGCCTCCACTGTGGCAATATATAATGCATGAACACAATCACTGGGGTAATTTAGAAACAGAATGCCTTTAATCTTTTGTTCAAATCAGCCAATTACAATACATAGGCTGTGGAATGTTATATGATTGTGCATAGACTCATGAATGGAACTGATCTTATTTAAATATGGCTAGAAAATTGTGAAACCTATAATCTTACATATTACATTGCATGTAATATAATATATAAACCTTATATATTACACAGGATATGGAAATTTATAATGTATTTATTAGCTAATCTAAAGATACCATTTTGAGAATTGTAGCTAAGGAGAAATATCTGGTGAAGAGGATTCCATTTTTTTTTCTCTTGAAGAAAGTAGAGTTACAGGGTTTGCAAATTCAATAGCCCGTGAAAGTCAATGGCACAGTCATGAACAGAAGCATTGCACAGCGAACTTCTGCATGTGAATTCTTTTTTCTTTCTTTCTTTCTTTTTTTTTTTTTAGTAGAGAAACATTTGTGTTTCAAAACATACTGGGGATTTTACTACCTTAAAGTGGCATTCATTTGCTGAGTTAATAAGTCATTCAAAATTTATTAGCGAACCATGCTGCTTTGTTACAACTTACTCTTGTATTATTGTGTCATGAAACCTTATAGGCAATGAAACTTTATATGGGAAACTTACAATCCGCACAATTTGTAGGTTAGTCTTCTTTCCCTGGAGTCCTTGATTTGAGGAGAAATGTGAACTTGAATTTAGTTAAAAAGATAAGTAAAAAGAGAGGGTGTTTAAGAAATGTGTCAAAAATAGTAACGTGTGTTTTTCTAGGCATTTGATGACTAAGATCGGGCTATGTGACTTAACAACCACTTGACTGAGTTTGAAATTCCACTGCCATTGGTTGCCTTCCTCAGTAACCATTCGCTAACGGCAGAATCCAAGTCAGCACCACGGAGAGCTCCACACATTTCGCCTCTGGAAGTGGAAGTCCTGTTTCAGGCCCAGCTGCAGCTAAGGAAGAGAATGACAGAATAATCTACTTACAAAGTAAAAGTAGATAAAATAAACCAAGCATTGGGAAAGGGTGTATCCTCAATATCATAAGAGAGACAATTCTACAGATTCAGGGACAATCAAGCTAGTTAATTAGACAATTCAACTTTTTCAGATGCTGCCTTCCCTTTGATTTGTTTTCAATACTGTCATATGAAATAATTAAAAAATTCACGGGTTCTTGTTTTTATTTGGATTTGGGGGTGTGTATGTTTTATGAAACATATAAAGTGTTATGTTTGGCTACCATTTCTTACAAAATATCTTCCTAAACTAACCTTGCTTCTTGACACATAGTTCCACTCTCGTTATTTTCTTCAGATCTGAGCTGTAACTAACAAAATAAGAACCTCATTGACTCAGACAAAGCAGGACAATGGGCTGCACCCTAACCTTTCAGAGGCCTTCTAGCAAGCAGCTACATGTTCTGATGGAAGTCTATGGACCTTTATTGTCCATAGAATATGATAGAAACAACAGATTTGTCTATGCTGTCTCCTGTAGAATGAAATGGTGGCAAACACAGAAAGGAGTTTGGATATGGCTATTAAAGATGACAGCATCAATAAAGGGAAAGAAGCAGGAGGGGAGAAAAAGAAACGTGGAAAGAACAACTTCTAAAAAATGTTTTTCCAAGCACAGCTTGCCTTAAGACTTTGGTAGGATTTGAACTGAAGTATGTGTAAACCAGGAGATTCCCACATTTGAAGACTCTGAGAAACAAGAATCAAGAGGTCTCAATGTTGCCCTTTGAATCTCTTCCTGTCTTATGCAAGCGCTCCTTTAGAAAAGGGGAGACAGACAGAGAAATTGGCTAGTATGTTCAGAAGGTAAGTAGCAAGGGAGGTCACTTCAAGGCTGTGAACTCTTAGCCCCACCCACCTTTTGTTCCTTCTCCCTGGAGCCCTGCCTCAACCATTCCAAACTCTTGCCTTGTTTTGAACCATTTGTTTACACAATCTTTGCCCTTATCATCCTCCTGGCAACCTCTAGTCCCTGGAGACCCAGTCACCCCCCAAACGTTTCAACTCCTAAGGGACTTCCTCGGGGAAACCCGGCATGCTGAGCGGTGCTGGGTGCTGACAGCCTTCAATCTTTCAGAAGCTTAGTTCAAGCTGGATAGCCCGGGCTTCATTCAGGGCCCACCCTTCAGGTGCTCAGGGGATCTGGACCCTGAAATTGCACCTGCACTCTTAGGTGGCGCATCTTAGATCTTCAACATCCTGAGCGCCAGCGGAGCTTTAATACACTCATTGAAGGGCTGGCTTCCCACCTGTCTTTTCTTTGCAGCTGAGGGTGTGTTAACTACCTCGGTGCAGGGCGCTTAAGGATGGAGCCCTATGGCTAGGGACGGTGGAGATCACCTTCCCAGAGTAGCTATGTTATCACTGAGTTTTGGAGATTTCTTGGCTGCCTTCCGCTTAAGGCACGCTTGAGTAACCCGAGCTGTGGCGGCGCCCAAGCTCCCAGGATAACGCTGTGTGTGTGTGTGTGTGTGTGTGTGTGTGTGTGTGTGTGTGTGTGTGTGTAGGGGGAGAGGGCGGGGACAGAAACGTCAACCCCCACCCTGCCTCCTTTTCTTTTCCTTTTCCCCTTCCTGCAAAAGGCGCACAAGTCTTCTACCCCACCCCACACCCGCCCACCAGCAATCCTTGGGGCTCTGGGCAACAGCCAGGTTAAGCCCATTTGCACTGGGAAATTGGCGCTGTTTGGGAGAAGAGAAACAGATCGATTGCCCTTGTGACTCCCCGCCCCCCCCCCCCCCCCCCCCCCCCCCCCCCCCCCCCCCCCCCCCCCCCCCCCCCCCCCCCCCCCCCCCCCCCCCCCCCCCCCCCCCCNTCCTCGGCCCTCCCCCGCCGCCTCCCGCACCCCGCCTCCTCCCCTCCCCGCCCCCAAGCCTCTCACCCGCGTCAGGCCGGTGCGAGGCCCCCTCCAGAAGGTGAGCGGGATGGATTGGACTCCGGCGGGGAACGCGGGTGTCTCGAAGTGGTGCTAATGGGAAGAGATTTCTGCTCTCCAAAGAAGATGCGCTGCCACAAAGAGCGGCTTGCGCGCCGGCCTGGGCTCTAGCCCGGGAGACATCCCGGGAGAACTCCGAGCTCGGAGCGCTCGGCTAAGACCCGGGCAACATGCCTGTTCGCAGGGGGCATGTGGCACCTCAAAACACCTTCCTGGGGACCATCATACGGAAATTTGAAGGACAGAGTAAGTTCGTTTGTTCTCTCCTGTCGCTCGCTTTCGGCTTTGGTAGAGCACTTGGCGTCCGTTGCTTCCAACCTAGAGAGATGGACAACTCTAGACTGTCAAGTTAGAGGCTGGGAAAGCCAGCCAGGCAGTTCGGATGGCAGCGGGAGTGTTCTCTCTCTAATATTAATTTGGATTTACATTTTAGATTATGGACTCCATTGTACCAGGCAATTTGATCCTCCTCTCCCACTGCTCCATTATCTGCCTTGCTACTTCATGCCCTACTAGTCCACAACCTTAAAGGGAACGTGCTGGTATAGCATGGGCTTGCGTTATGAAGCTCCCTTTCTGTGGCAGACTTTTTAAAGTCAGGAGCAGAGCCGACCATAGGCTCAGAATAAGGACATGTAAATGGTAGTAGCGATGTAAATGGCTATGCAAACTGTTTTATCTTGGTAAACTGCTGGGCTGTGGAATGTCAAAGATGCTTGCTAGATGTCAGTTGGCTCTTAAAACTGAACTTTGTACGGAAGCTGAAAATAGACGTCAAAGAATAATTTGGAGAGTGGTGGTCTGGTTTTGGGTGCAAGACGCTCACTTCTCAAAAAACGTATTTGTGTCTCTGTGTTGCTCCCCTAGACATGCCGTCTGGAAATTTAAAAATCAAAGGGCAGTCCGTAACCCCACAGAGACTGAATGTAGATAAATTTAATGTAGGCATGTAAGCAAACCACCAGGAATTAATTATTTTACATAAATCTAGTAATTTAAAATCCTATAGTTGTAGTTTTATATTCTGCCCTAAATCTCCCTCAGTGTGCATTTATTTTGCATACCTTCACAAATTTTGCAGGACTGCATTTAATGATGTGAAGATATGGTGTCTGTGTACAACATTAACTTCTCTATCCTGCTTCATATTCTTTCCAAAAATAACAAACAGTTTGCTAGCACACTTAATGGAATTGGTATTAAAATATCTACTATCACACAAAATTCTACTTTGTTACATAGAAAAAAGTTTTTTAATGTGTTATCATCATGCTTAAAGCATGTGTGTAGTTTTTATCCTTTGCAATTGAATTATGAAAGTGTAAATCTTTACATAGTTTATTGTTAATAAATGTGAAGTTATTTCATTGCTAAAGATAATTGTCTTAAAAGCACAAGCCTGTGTAAAAATTGCAAACATATACGCCTTCCTTACAAAAATCAAGAAAAAAAATCCAAGAATAATAAATGCTTTGAGAAAGTTGCATTCTAAGGTTCAGTCAAAGTTGATGTAAGAAACATGACAGTTACAGGATGTTTCAATTTTCTGACTTGGAAAAATTTTACCATACAGGTAAGTAACATTCTGGAATTATCCATTGGCAAGCTGCATTTCTGCCTGTCAAATAGGACCCCTGGTTTTCACAGAGCTTGAGAACTAGACAAGTTGGACATTTCTGTTCTTGAAATTATAAAATAATTTTCTTAATTCCTTAATTGCTTATTGCCACTGATCTCACACATAAAGTACTAGAGGTGTGTGTGTGTGTGTGTGTGTGTGTGTGTGTGTGTGTGTGTGATTTCTAATTCTTGGGAAGGGTCTACATAGTTAGCATCTGGGGGAAACAACTGCTTTCCAGATCCTTATTATGCAACTAATTGTTTTAGTGTTTGTGTGAACCCTTTGGAAGATGTCTAAAAGACGTCCTACCCTCTTCTTATTGCAGATAAAAAATTTATCATTGCAAATGCCAGAGTGCAGAACTGTGCCATCATCTACTGCAATGACGGGTTCTGCGAGATGACTGGGTTCTCCAGGCCAGATGTCATGCAGAAGCCATGCACCTGCGACTTCCTCCATGGGCCTGAGACCAAGAGGCATGACATTGCCCAGATTGCCCAGGCGTTGCTGGGGTCAGAGGAGAGGAAAGTGGAGGTCACCTACTATCATAAAAATGGTAAAGTGGGCCTGATTAAACTTTCTTGTATTTGATTCCCTTGAAATGAAATTTCGATTACTCAAAGTTCATATGCAGAGAAACACCATGTAGTTAATTGTAGACGAATTTTTTTAATGTAAAACCTTAGTATGCAAGAAATAGGGATGTTCTTATTATTGGACCAGTAGGAAAAAGATTCTTCTTCTTGTAAGGGAACGTTGTTTGAACTCTGTAGACGTGCAGTAACTTAATGTCACCAAGGGCAAGAATGTCATCAGTCAGTCCTGACACCTTTTAAAGGAATGATGTGCAGACTTGAAATCCACTGTTTTCATCATTCTGTGCCTAGTGTGAGAGAAATACATTTTATTTGCCTACATTTGAACATATTCCACTAGGTCTTCTTGGAAGCTGTTTAATGTGAATTGAAGAACGGTACGGTTATGAATGTTTCTTGGCTTTTTCAGTGTGGATGGATGGAACTTCTTGTCTCTTTTCTTTGTTTTTAGAGAAGATTAAGCAGAATTTATAGTAACTCCTTCCACTGAGTCACAAAACTTGGGTTCATACATATGTTATGAAATAAGACATATAGAAGACATTACTCACTGTAAGAAATATGAAAAAGAATCTGTGAGCGTGCAGGGTTATTAGCATTCACTCGTCCACCATAGATAAGCTAGCACTTCAAAGTTAAGGCCATTATTTCAACTTTAAAGATACACTGCCTTCTTATAGTCTTGTCCTGGGAGCCATGTACATGCATTTATACTGTAGCCCCCTTTCCCTTCGTCTCTCTCAGGATCTCTCTTTCTCTGTCACACACTTATGTATGTGTTCATATTATGGATATAGATAACTGAATACAAATAGATTACTGTATACTCATATAATCCCTTTTAAGGGAAATATAGATGCATAGGGTGCACACTTAATGGCATTTACTCATTTAGTAAAACACCTGTAGAAAACAAGTATGCTGCAGTTTTTGCCCATATGGCATCATCTGTTTCTCCCTGTTGTATGTACAAAACATAATGATTCTGAGAAGAATCTTCTCAGTTTTTTAGAAAACTCTTATGTTTGGCAAATGTATGCCATGCTATAGTCTAAACCATAGTGTGACTCCTTTGAAAACTATGAAGAAAAAAATATCAAAAGAAAGGTATGATTCTTTCTCTTATTTTCTTAAAATGAAATGTGTCATGCTGCAAAATGTGCAATTCTTAATTATTGGATTTTTTCCATTGTATGAAGTTAAACTTGAGTAGGGTATTTGGAACCAGGTATTACTGGAAAAACAGGTTTGTATTGCACTGGAATGAAAGCAAATATATGATTATCAAACAGCACAGAGCTTGTTTCTTCCAACCTTCCCATTTTTTCTGCCTTTTTGATCAGTAGCATCATGTATTATAAATAGTCCAATGGTTCCATTGTCTAGAAATATTTCTGTATTGAGACTTTCAAGAAACACTGCAACTTACCTCTTTTGTCTATATGATGCCAAGAAACTCAGTTTTTTTGAAAGTGTAAAAAGTTCAGTGCTGTTTCTTCTCTGACTATAAAGGATAAGGTTGACATGGTCTATGTTGTGGTTTTTTCAAGGCAATGTGGTCCATCATTGGTTGATATATTTTCAAGGCTGTTTACGACATTTTTTTTTTCCAGCTTAAAAACTTCAAGTACTGCTCTGGCTGAACCAATTAAAAAATGAGTACATTTTCCAGAATGGTTTTAAGTAGGAATTGTACCTATTATGGTGTAAATAAAATGTGGAAGTTTTGCACCCTTATCAATTCATTCACTATAATCATAAAATGAGCTCAGAACACTTCTCAAAAGGGATTTTATATTTAAGCACAAACCTGTTGGTTACAAAGCCTCTAGTAAAGATGTCAGTGCATTGACCATTGCAAACCTATGCCTGGGTGGTTTCCTTAGCTATCCGAATTTTAAAAACAATTTCATACGATTCTTTGTTTGGAAGCCAGTTTAACTATAGAGATGTCAGTCTTGGTGAAAATTGTCTCAGTTGATTTTTTTCAGGTGCAACACACTTTGAAGGAGTAGGGTATCTTTAGTATTAGCCAGACACTGTCTATTTCACTTTAGCTGGTAGAGGAAATGAATAGATGAACTCGGTTTTTCTACGTTTCAAGGAAACCTTATTAAATGAAATCCCCTTGGATACTGTTAAGATACAGATATGTTTACCTACTTTGGTTGCAATAAACTAGTGGTTAGCTTTGATGTTAATTCAGGTGCATTGAATAGAATCTTGAGTGTTTACTGTCTTATTCACATGACAGCTATAAAATCAGTCAAGGCTTATGAGCTTCAAATGCTTTGATAGTCTCACCTTTTATTGACCTGCTGCAAGCCACTTTGTATTCATAAAAGCAGAGAGACAGAAAGAAAAAATAGAAACATTTTCATTGGTTTGTTTCTTAAAGTTTCCTTAAGTCCTTTTAGAGGAGGTCATTTACTTTGATGGTATGCTTCTTAATTCCTGATTTTATTTAGTAAATGCTTCCTTTGCTTTTAATTTATTCAGCAGTTCAATGAAATATGTAAGTTATGTAATGAACACAGTGAGAAAGTTAGGAATAGTTGATATATTCTACATTTACAATTTATTCTTGATGGAACAGCAAAAGTAATCTCAGGATTAAAATATTATTTATGAAAGCTTGTTTCCTGAAGGGACCCACTGGTTTCCTGAGCAGTGGGAGCCAGGGACATATGCAACGAGTCCCATTGGAAGTGTCGTGAGTTGCATAGCCAACTGAGACACAATACTTCCTACCTTGCTCAGTATAGGACTGTTCTAGGTAGAACAAAGTTTGCTATTTACCAGAATATCAATTCTTAAAAACCCACTTATCTGAAGTAGAAGCACTTGACAGCCCTTCCTTTGAGAATTCTATTTTACAGTTTAAGTCATTATTGCATAAATCATTCTTGGCAGCTCTGAATGTTGCTTGAGGTGATAAAGCTGTAAATCTTTTGACATGAAACTCTAATTATATAAAACTATAATTACACGGAGACTTATATAAGGGTGGGCATGTATTTTAATACTGTTTTAAAAAAAACGTGTTTTAAAAAAATACCTTGAGAGGAGTAGTGACTGAACTAGAAAACGATTTTCTTATTTGTGGTTTGCATGTGATGGGAATAATTGACTGTGACTTAATTTACTTGCTTACTTGAGCTTTTTTGGTGTATCACATAATAGAAATAGCCTGTTGGAATCCTAAAACCCTTTATCTATGTTTACATGTGTAACTCAAGTTACCAAGCAACTTCAAAAACCTAGAAAACCAGAGTAAACTTATGGACAAATAACACCTTTATTCAAAAGGAGAGAAGATTCTGAAATGTATGAGAATTAGTAACCAGGCAGCCTTATTATGACTTTGTCATTTTTTTTTTTGATTTTTTTCAAGACAGGGTTTCTCTGTAGTTTTTGGTGCCTGTTTGTCATTAAATTTCCAGACCCAAATGCAGTTGGAATTTTACTGTTCAATCGGTATAGTATATCGTTACCTTTCTTGTCTTCCTGTTACTTTTCAATAGCTGGGGGATGGACAGTGACTGAGGAGAGTCCTTGCCTGCTCCGCTCAGAGTTTCACTTCCACTTATGCTGGAAGTGGCTTTGGTTTATTAACACTGAGTCTTGCTTTCCTGAGAGTGATGCAGAAAAACCTAAAAGGTGCTGTTCTGAAATTAAGAGTGAAGGGTTACCCCGGGTTTTAGCTCTAGTTTAGGTGACAGGCTAACCATAGGTACAAAGAGTGCACAAGGGGTCTCGGCTCTGAGAGCAATCGGATGTGTTGTATTAGGATAAAGCAACTAATGTTCTTTTGCAATTTCTCAACCATAGATATTTCAAAGAAGTTGCTTACAAACAAATAAAAAAGTATAGAGAGATCTTATGACATTTAATATCAATTATAACTCTTCCTACATTTTTCAGCTTTAAAATAACTACTAATATATACTTTTAACCATGCTTTGTTACTTGCGCACTCTAATGACGTCTTAGGGAAGCAATGCAGCTTAGTTAAAATTTTTGTCATATGAAATAACTATTATAATAGCTTTACATAAGCTTTGTGCTCATAATATATTCGGCTCTCCTAATTCTTGGATTGTATAGTAGAGCTGCAGATGGTGGTTTTAAGCACAGAAATAGAAATATAGTTTGTGTGTATGTGATTCAAGCAACAGGAAAGATTTCCAAGGAGTGTGTTGCCTGGGATTCATTGTCGCTTTCTTTCTCTTATCTCGACTTCTCCATACTTTATTCAGCAGGATATTATAACATCAGAGATTCTAAAATTCATTGTCTTTCACAGATCTAATTTGTTTCTGAACCCCATACTTTCTGACTTTCCGGAGATTATGCTTGATCCATTGTATCTGTTAATAAAGTAACCATTCTAAAACAGTAGTTCCCCTCCCCCCCCACACACACAGTCTGAAACCTCATTTCTTTATAGTCTCATGTGAAACTAAAATGTCCAAAAGATAAAAGTGGTCTAATCATATCTTGGTACAACACCCTCCAGCTCTACACCTGTGATCACTGGGGCAAAAAGACGCAGTCTTTACTGGTGGCTTGGGAGAGGACTGCTTGGTTGATTTTATTCCTAAATGGCTTGAGAGCAGGTCAGTTTCAAGGCACGGTGTAGACAAGTGGGAGCAGTTTGCTTCTGCTAAATTCTAAGGGGTTGTGCGTGCTCTGTTGTCTGTCTGGTTGTTTGTTATACACAGGCACCAGGTCTGCTGCAGCCAGCTGCTGAGCAAATGCTTGGACAGTTGAGCTGCACGGGAGCAGCAGGTATAGTATGGAGTACTCTGGTGCACCATTCATACTGCAATTTGAATTAGACGCCAGGAAATCCTTATAATTTTATCTCTTCTTTATAAACCACTGGTCAACAAATATCTCACGGTACTATTCCTGTCTCCATTTGCTGTCGAGTCCTCCTCTCATGGAGGTTTGCATG